GCTTTTTTCCTTCCCCCCAAAACCCCCCCCCCCCCACTACATCGCGTTCACTGACTGAAGAAAGAAACAAGAAAAAGCAGAATCTTTCTTTCATTTTCTTTAATGGAAGAAGAAGAAGAAGAAGAATATCGTATTCTGCTTGCTTCTCGTGATAGGCGATATGCTCCAACAGGAGAATATCAACCAATTCGACAAGAACAATTACCACTTGTCATGGATCTTGATGCTTGGAAAGATTCATCTACTTTTCAAGATTGGCTATCTTTTGGTTCACGACCAATCCGGACTGAAACCACCCTTGTTTGTTCTTTTACCACCACTATTGTAGGCCTTAGAGATGCAGAAATCAATGATCATGAATTGCTTCGATTTGTACGTTATCGACAATGCCCTTATGATGAGTATGCTATAAAGGTTTTAAATTCTAGCTCTAAAGAAATGGGATACCTTTCTACTCCAGTTGCTGAGGTTTTATCTCCTTTAGTTGATCTTCGAAAAATTAATCTAGAAGGTGAGGTGGCTTTTTCAAAATTTAGACATGACACGTCTATTCCTTGTGTAGTTAGAATCCTTGCAAAGTCAGCTGATGTACAGGGTGTTAGAAACGAGATTTTGCCACTCGGGTTGCCTTTACATGATCTACCTCGTGCAAGTTATGGTTCATATGAGGATTTGGGGCTTAAAGAAAAGAGTAGGATTGAGAAATTGGGGACTCTGGAGCCACCAAAGAATGTGATTAAAGCTAAACTTCTCGATCATCAAAAGGAGGGGCTGTGGTGGTTGGTGATTAAAGAGAAGTCGGATGAGTTGCCCCCTTTTTGGGTGGTGAAAGATGGGTTGTACCTGAATGTTTTGACAAGGCATCAAACGAATAGGAGACCAGAGCCTTTGCATGGTGGGGTTTTTGCTGATGGTTATGGATTAGGCAAGACTCTGACCTTGCTTTCTTTGATTGCTTTTGATAAGGTTGGCTATGTTACTGAAGGAACAGGCGAGGAGGACAGGTTAGAGTTTGTCTCTAGTGGTAAGAATTGGGGAAGGTTGAGTGAAAAGGGTACTGGAGAACAAAAAATGCATAGCCTTTTGGATAGTAATATAAAAGAAAGTTCTGTGCGCATGGCCGGCGAGTCTTCTAGTGCTTTGGTTGCTAAGAAAACACTAGTCGTGTGCCCTTCTGCTGTGTGTTCGACATGGGAAAACCAACTGCAGGAGCACACTCAAAAAGGTTCACTCAAGCTATACAAGTATTATGGGGATAACAGGACGAAGGATGCAGAGGAGCTTATGAAATATGATATAGTGTTGACCACATATAGTACCTTGGTTGCTGATGGATGTGAGCAAAAACGGTACCCTTTGATGAAGATCGAGTGGTGGCGAGTCATTTTGGATGAGGCTCATGTGATTACGAAGAAAGCAAATGCACAGCAAAATCGGGAACTTGTTAAATTGACCGCTAGGAGGAGGTGGGCTGTTACAGGAGCACCCATCCAGAATGGATCGTTTGATTTATCTTCTCTGATGACCTTTTTCCGGTTAGATCCAATCTCTACAGAGTACTACTGGCAAGAGTTGTTGCAGAAACATCTTGCTAATGGAGATGAGAAAGGGTTCGTCCGACTGCAGGTAATATCAAGCTGCTGATAATATTAAATTCCGGTATTGTGAAATGTTATGTACACCTAAGGTATTGAAAATCAAATTGACAGATGCAATCTGTAATATTTAGGATTACAGTATGCAGATCTCTTGTCCCACTCCACTGAATGCTTCCGTGTTTTTGTGATTTTCTTTAAAAATTTTCAGGAATTAATGGCAACCATTTCTTTGAGGAGAATAAAAGCCAAGGTTTTAGTTGGATTGCCATCTAAAACTATAGAGACAGTTTCCTTCGAATTTTCTGGAGAAGAACGTGAACTGTATAATCAGATGGAAGCAGATTCCAAGAATGTTGTTGCATATTTTATTGCAGCTAATAAACTACGCAGCCGCTATATATCTGTGCTTTTTTCAGTTATTCAGCTTCGGCAGTTATGTAATGACTCGGCCTCGTGCTCTATGGATCTCAGATCACTTCTCCCTTCTGACAATATTGGAGGTGTTGGAGAGTTCTGCCTGTTCATATTTTTGTTCAATTTGGTTTTTGCAATTTCAATTGCATAGAGTACCAGAAACTCTTGCGATGTCATTTGGAAGATAGTTTTTTAGACAATGCTATCACCGAAGAGTCTTACAAAACTTCTGCAGTTATTTCAAATCGAGTTCTTGCTACATTTTTTCCCTGACAATATGATTATAGCATGCTTACCATTTGATCCTTGTTTCCAAGCAGATGGATCCAAACATCCGGAATTGCTTCGAAAGATGATCGATGGGCTTCAAGATGGTGAAGATATTGTCTGTACGGTTTGCCTTGATCCACCAACTGATGCTACAATCACAATCTGTGAGCATATATTTTGCAAAAAGTGCATTTGCCACCACCTACAACAGAAAGTAACCGAACAAACCTGCCCAAATTGTCGCCGTCCTATTTCTTTCCCTGACCTGTTCTCAACCCTTCCAGAATCTGCTGATCCCGAAAGCCCTCAAAAACTGTCAAGAACAATCCCTTCCAAAGTCTCAGCTCTCATAAAACTCTTGAAGGAATCTAGGGTTGTAAACTCAATCAGTAAATCAGTAGTTTTTTCACTGTTTGATAAGATGTTGGCATTAATAGAAGAGCCTCTGGAAGATGCTGGCTTCAATACATTGCGGTTGGATGCATCAACAGATGAAATAAGGCAAGCTGAAATAATCAAGAAATTTAGTTCAGCAGGAGCAGACACGGTTCTGCTTGCCAGTCTCAAGACTTCAGGAACCGGCATAAACCTCACAGCTGCTTCCAAAGTCTACTTGTTGGAGCCATGGTGGAACTCAGAGGTTGAGGAACAGGCAATAAACCGTGTTCATCAATACGGACAGCGGGAGAATGTAAGAATTGTTAGATTGATTGCACAAAATAGCATTGAAGAAAGGATATTGGAGATGCAGGAAAGGAAGAAAGTGGCCAATGAAGCTTTTGGAAGGCAAGGACGACCAAACGAACAACAGGAGGCTAGCATAGATGATCTCTGTCGCCTCTTATTCTGATGAGTATGCCTTGGTTTTTTTGGAGTGTATGGTTTTTGGACATATAGAAATCCATCTGTAGTTTGTTTTAGGTGCCCGTGGTTGTTAGTTTCTTGTCTTTGGTTAAATAGTTACAGGTTTACTAATGATTTCAGACTTTGCTCTCTGCTGCAATTCTTCCTAACCGTTAGTTTGAACTCTCTATCCGTTAGCACTAAAAAAGAAGAAGAAAAATTCATTTTCAATCCTCCTCGAAAGGAAATGCTACTAAGTTCTCCCTTAATGCGAACCTTTCTATAAAGAGCCCTTTGCTCTCTGCTCGCAGGCAATTTCTGAACTTGCTGATTCAGCATGTGCTATAGGCAATGGATTAAAGCCAGGATCTTCTGAAACATTATCTTTTAGACGTCAACGATCTGAATCCCGGGTCCATGACCAGTAACGCAAGAGCGGTGTTGAAAAGACATCACACTTACGCTAAGTCTCAGAACAGACGTATCAAAAGAACAAGTTATTTAAAAATTTGCAGTATTTCATAATCTTCAAAAATATTATATTATTCAAAATTGATAAAACCAAAGGATAGTTCAAAACTCTTTATCAGTAATTAAAATAAAAATAATAATTCATAATACTCATTACATTGTCAAAATCCAAACTTAATTAAAACAGAGTAATAGTAGAGTATTTAAGACATAGAATCAAAAGGAAAGGGAAGCCTTACAAAACAAGCGAGGCATATCAACCAAAACTGAAAAAACAGGAACACTCAACAAAGTCTATCTGCTATCAGAAACTAAGAACCTGAAATAATATTAAGAATGAAGGGTGAGTTCAACCAACTCAGTGAGGGAATAATATTTAATATATATTTTAGATATTTTAGATATTAATAGTTTACAAGTTGATTTATCTTGATATACATATACACATATATACTAAACATATTATCATAACGTAGTGGAATACATGTTAGAGATCAGATAACACCCGAAGGTGACCACTGTGGAATGATCAGTCGCCACAAGCTGATGCCTCTCTCATCAGTTACCAATACAGAATACTATGTTCACATAGGCTAACTACTCTCCGTTAGCATGGAGTTACTGACAAATCCTATATCAAGACATAATAAATATTTATAGAATCATAAAAAAAAAACGTATATCATATCAAATAGAATTTAGCTCTACAAAATGCGAGTGCAAATTCAAGAATAGATGAGTACTCGAAAAATAAAGCAAAATATATAAATATTCAAGAGATTAACTAATCATACTCATCATATAATCAACATACATATTTATTTATATTATATGCATATTAAAGACTATCCCACTCATCTGGAAGAATATAGAATAAAAAGAATATCAGATGAAAGATCTGAAAATCATATTAAGGATCGATAGGAGAACCTATAACAATATATGAAATACACTAAAAAACAACTCAAACAAAAGATCCAGTGCATAAAATAAAACCAGGTTTAGTCTCCAAAGTTTATGGACTAAAACGATAATTTTCCAAAACAGGGACCAAAACATAATTATACTAAAATTAGAGGACCAATCTAGAAATGCATAACCATATTGAATTTTCACCCACAAACCATCCTAAATTCTGTCTAGAACGAACCAGGGACTGAATTGAGATTTT